GCCAAAAAGTTGAAAGACTACCTTGTCTAGGGCTTTGTAGTTGTTTTCAGCTTTCTTGTTTTTTTGTAAAAGCATTTTTCCGCTTAGCAACAATAGACAAGAGGTGAAACATCGTCACTACAACGACTAAGTAGTTTAAGAAAATTTTCGCCCGGCTTTGGTCACTAAAACGACTAACTACTTTAGGAAATGTGTCGCCCGGCTTTGGTCACTAAAGCGACTAACTACTTTAGGACATGTGACGCCCGGTTTTGGTCACCAAAACGAGTAACTACTTTAGGACATGTGTCGCCCGGTTTTGGTCACTAAAACGACGAACTAGTTTAGGAAATGTGTCGCCCGGTTTTGGTCTCAAAAACTACTAACTAATTTAGGAAAAAAAGTGTCGCCCGGCTTTGGTCACTAACACGACACTAACTACTTTAGGAAATGTGTCGCCCGGCTTTGGCCACTAAAACGATTAACTACTTTAGGAATTGTGTCGCCCGGTTTTGGCCACTAAAACGACTAACTACTTTAGGAAATGTGTCGCCCGGCTTTGGCCACAGAAACCACCAACTAGTTTAGGAATTGTGTCGCCCGGTTTTTGCCACTAAAACAACTAACTACTGTAGGAAATGTGTCGCCCGGCTCTGGTCACCAAAACGACACTAACTACTTTAGGAAATGTGTTGCCCGGCCTCAATGTCCAAAACACATATTTGAGCAAAAGGGGCCAAAGCTGAAAGAGGCCACCCGCCACAACTGGGTTTTCGCCCAAAGTCATGTAGCTAAACAGGCCACCCCCCTGGAATGTCCAAAACATGTATTTGAACAAAAGGGGCCAAAACTGAAAGAGGCCACCCGCCACAGCTGGGTTTTGCCCAAAGCCCTGTAACTAAAGAGGCCAGCCCTCTTCAATGTCCACACTCAAAAACAACATATTTACGGAATCTCTTCCCAAATCTCTTCCCAAATCTGTTACTGTTACGGGCCATTTTGACAGTCACCCCTTCATAAAGAGGCCAGGGGGGTGGTCTCTTTAGTTACAGGACTGTGGGCGAAAGCCCAGCTTTGGCAGGTGGCCTCTTTCAGCTTTGGCCCCCCCTACTCAAACATGTGCTTTGGACATTCAGGGGGGGTGGCCTCTTTAGGTACAGGACTTTGGGCGAAAGACCACTTGTGGCAGGTGGCCTCTTTCAGCTTTGGCCCCTACTCAAACATGCGCTTGGGGGGGTGGTTGTGGCAGGTGGCCTCTTTCAGCTTTGGCCGGGTTCCTAAACCCTGAACCCTGAAAATATTTACGGAATCTCTTCCCAAATCTGTTTCTGTCACGGGCCTGCGGGGGTCCCAATTTCCTGAACCCTAAAAATATTTACGGAATCTCTTCCCAAATCTGTTTCTGTTACGGGCCATTTTGACAGTTACCCCTTCATAAAGAGGCCATTGCCTGAAATAAGGTCTAGGGTTTAGGGTTTAGGGTTTAGGGCAGTTTAGGGTTTAGGGTTTAGGGTGTAGGGCTTAGGGTTTAGGAGTACCGGGCCGGGCTTGCCGGGAAGAACCCACAACCTGGAAATGTTTAGGGCTCTACCTTTCAAGGGTTTCGAGAATACCCCAAAGAAACTCTAGGTTTAGGGTTTCGGGTTTAGGAGTACCCTGGGCCGGGCTTGCAACCATAAGATGCAATTACCTCAGGGCAGCAGCTCGCGACTCCAAGCCAAAACCCTCAAAACCGGATTTCCAAAACATTGCAGCGCCTTCGGCAGATTCCTAAAAAAAGGCTTATAGCATTTTGGGTGGCTCAGATGAGTACGAGAACCTTGAACCCTAAACCCTAAAAACCCTCAAACCCTCAAACCCTTAAAGTTTTAGGAAAGACCCCGCAAGGTCAGACAGGCATCCGCGGGTGTTGCGTGCTGTCCTGGCAGAGAAAGAGCGGCCCTCAATCGCCGAAATCTCGAGAGCCTTCATGGGTATTTGCCAAAATAGGGCCCTAAACCCTAAACCCTAAACCCTAAACTCTAAACCCTAAACCCTAAACCCTAAACCCTAAACCCTAAACCCTTAATATACCTCCAAGATAGGATAGTCCTTATTATCGGAACCCGAACCGATCTTCGGAAACACCCTCACGGGGTGGGTTTAGGGGTTTGGCATTTTAGCGTTTAGGGTTTGTAGGGTTCAGGGGCTCCCCAAGACTCCCAAAAAGCCCCCAAGACTCCTAAAGCCCCACAAAGGGTTTAGGGTTTAGGGTTTAGGGTTGTAGGGAATGAGGGAATCCCCGCAAAGGGTTTCGAAATCGGAGAAACCTTCATCTTAGCACCTTATCCCCGAAAGCTGCCCAGAGCTGCCCCAAGCCGGGTTTAGACCCCTAGACCCGAATTAGTAATTGCTTAAGAACCCCACCCAAAAAAAACCAACAACATGTTCTTCCTTTTTAGTGTAATATAGGGATTCTATATCTATATATATGTATATTATTTGCTTTAAATTCTTTTGGGCTCTTATAAGGGTAATATAGGGATGATAGGTGTTGTTATTCTTTTGGGGTTAAAAAGACTTCCTTTTTCGGGGAATATAGGGATTATTGCTTCTTTTTCTTTTGGGGTTCGTTTTATCTTTTCTTCTTTTTTGGGGGGTGGGGGGGGGGGGGTTCTTAAGCAAATAGTTGCTAATCTCCCCTAAACCCTAAACCCCAAACCCTAATCCCAAACCCAAAACACCCTGTCCTGAGCTTCGACGAGGTAGAAATGGGGCAGGGACCAGACCTGAGGGAAGTTCAACAGTGGAGGGGGAACCCTAAACCCTAAACCCTAAACCCTAAACCCTAAACCCTAAACCCTAAACCCTCAACCCTCAACCCTCAACCCTAAACCCTAAACCCTAAACCCTAAACCCTAAACCCTAAACCCTACTCCACCCTGCAAGCCCTAAGACCCTGAACCTGATAATTCCCCAAGCCCCTACTAAACCCCTTGAACACCCTAAACCCTTAAATCAAAACCAGCGCAAACCCTCAACCCTCAACTCCCAAACCTAGACAACTACAGCCATATACGCATCCAAAGAGAACCCCAAAACCCCAAACCCCAAACCCTAACCCTTTTCGAGGGTGCCTGGACCCAACTAGATCCGGCAGCTAGTCATCCCTGAATCGGTCAACGGCACTGAACCCTCAAGAGTTTAGAGAGAGGGAGAGAAAGGGGGATATAAGGTACCCTCATTCCCACCTAAGAACCGGTAAGTCGAGGGCACTAGCGTCTCGGCTGCAGGTGGGGAGGAAGAAGCGGCTGAGCAACTCGATCTTTGTATAGGCCCTTAAGTTTTGGAACCCTTCTATACCATCTACCCTAGACTTCAGAACCCAGGGATTATATAAAGGGACCATGCAAGTACCCTTAAACCCTAAACCGGGTGCCAACCCGCCCGAGGTCGCTGCATAAGGTATGTTGTTCGAAGCCGCCGTGAGGTCGAACCTGTCTTTCCGCGGGTTGAGGATTTACGGATTTAGGGGCCAGAAGGCGAAGGGTGGAAGACCATGGTGAAAGGTACACAACCTCTCGCCTCTGCCAGAACGGGGTTTGGGTTTAAGGTTAAGGGGTCTAAACCCTAAACCCTAAACCCTCAACCCTAAACCCTAAACCCTTGAGGGTTCAGGGCTGAGGGATTGAGGTCCACAAGATGGGACACGTCTAGAATGCCATATGCCCAACCCCAAGAGCTTGAGACGAAACTTAGAACACATAAACAACCAACTCTTGGGGCTTAGGGTCTAGGGTTTAATTAGGGTTTAGGGTTTATGGGTTTAGGGTTCAGGGTTCGGGGGGTAGGTTTGGGATTGTTTAGGGTTTAGGGTTTAGGGTTTAGGGTTTAGGGTGTAGGGTTTAGGGTTTAGGGTTAAGGGTTCGGGGGGTAGGTTTGGGATTGTTTAGGGTTTAGGGTTTAGGGTTTAGGGTTTAGGGTTTAGGGTGTACGTTCGAAGGGTAGGTTTGGGATTCAGGTTGAAGCTGTAGGTTTTCGGGCTTAGGTCTGTTTGGGGTTTAGGCTTTCCGGCTTCGGTGTGCTTGGGGTTGGGGTAAGGTTTGGGGCTTCGGGACTTCGGGATGGACTAGGTTTTAGGGTTTAGAGTGAGGACCTGTGAAAGACGTGAGCGATGTCAACAGTGGCAGGCGTCCTAAAGCGCGCCTGGACCGAAGCAAGTGGTCCTAGGGTTTAGGGGTTTAGGGGTTTAGGGGGTTTAGGGGTTTAGGGGTTTAGAGGTTTAGGGGTTGAGGGGTTTAGGGGTTTAGGGGTTTAGGGGTTTAGGGGTTTAGGGGTTTAGGGGTTTAGGGGTTTAGAGGTTTAGGGGTTTAGGGGTTTAGGGGTTTAGGGGTTTAGGGCTTAGGGTTTAGGGGTTTAAGGGTCCAAGACCTTCCAGCAGTACTTGAAGGTTCAGGGTACTTATTCACCCAATAAAAACTCGCCTAGTTGCAACCATATTAGGGCACTTAAGGGGCTTACAAGTGGATGATCAGCACCGTTACGATTGGCTCAAAAAAGTAAGCATGGCTCCACTTTTCTTCCGGAAAACTGGTCTGGGTGGCCCTGGAAGCAGGAAGAGTGCTTCTAAATAGGGACCTCTCTTACAACCCCTAAACCCTAAACCCTAAACCCTAAACCCTAAACCCCTAAACCCCTAAACAACCGATAAATATCATCTATCCCCAGGGGCCTAGCCAGATGAGTATGAGTTCCTTCCAAGTGAGACCTGCTGCGGACAGTTCGTGTCCAAGTCTACAGAAGGCACGTGCCTGTGCGGTCTTAGACCGGCACTCAATGGGTAGTTTTATGGGCCCTTCGTATGGTCCCTAACCTCCTTAAACGGGTTCTGATGTACGGGCACTTAAGTCTATAAGGGGTTTTAAGGAGTACCCTTTTAAGGGCCCATACTAAGGGACCATGTAACTACCCCAAGAGGCACGTGTCAAAAAGAAACACTAGCACGCCGGCAAAAGGTTGTGCATGTATGGAATTGTTGATGCTCAGTCCTCATAGACTTGCGAGGACATGGTTTGCTGAATGAGCTGCTCCAGCATGGCAACTGTCTTGGGGTCCTTGACTGCTTGAAGAAGACCTTAGTAGCCCAGGGACCATCTTGCAATAAGGGTATATACCCCCCCTTTTTTGGTTGGCTACTTGAAAAAAGCGAACCCGGAGCCCAAAAAAGGGTAAAGGGTACCCCTGGGCTACCAAGAGACTCGGCAGAGACGTCCAGCAAAGAGGCTCAAAGGGCTTGGGCTGCACGGGCGAAGGCATGGATGGTGATGTCTTGCATGCGGTCTGCAAGTGGGAAGAGAAGAACTGCTCCATGCTCTCGCTCGAGACACCCGGGGTCACCAAGATCTCGACTCCCGCACTCTGCGTGTCTGCGAAGAGAGCTGCATGGTAAAGCATCTTCCGCGACCGTGCGACCACACACATGCTGACGTCGCAAGGCTGCTGGCTCTTGCTGATCCCTTGAATGATGGGCTTCGTTTCTCGCCAGTCTGCGACGATCAGTTTGGCACCATTCCTGCCATCTTTGTCCTGCCAAGTGAGAAAGCCCGTCGCTTTCTTGTGGCAAACGAACTTGCAACCCAACTTAGCCGCAAGGTGCTGCAACTTTCTGTGTTCCTCACGGTGTTCAGGCTTCAGGCAATGTTCGAAGCACCACACAAGCCACACAGCAACTTCGGCCGGCCCATGAGATATAGGCATAGTAGCTTTCAGTATTGAAGCGGGGGAACAGGCGGTCTTGAGCACAGACGCCTGCTTTGGGATCCTGCATCCTTGAACTCTTTCGAGTATAAGGGTTTAGGGTTTAGGGTTTAGGGTTTAGGAGAACTTCAGGAAGGGACTTCCGAGCAAGGCCGTTGGGGTTAGGTTTAGGGTTATAAGTTAGGCTTCTCTAAGGGTAGCCCTGAACCTGAAATCGATGGAATCACATTATCCCGGTGTACGTCTACATGAAGGGTTTAGGGTTTAAGGCTACCCATCTGCTCGTGGGTACAATAGACCCGAATCTTCACTGAAGGTGCTAAGGTTCTGGATTTCGGTGGTTTCCGGTTTTCGGCCCTGCTCTAAGGGGCCCGAGAAACGCCCAAGCCACTGCAGTCCTAAACTCTTGAACCCAACAACCTGAAACACCTTAAACCCTAAACCCCAAACCCCAAAAACCCAAAACCCCAGAAACCATAAAATCTAGACCCTGAATCCTGGGACTCTAAACCCTACTCCCCTTCCCTTGAATCCCCAAACCCTGATCCGTACTAAGCTCGCGGCATCCCCGGCAAGACGTCGCAATCAGAGCCGCGATTGAGGACCCCAGACTGACGTTCACAGGTTGGGATGTTCCCTAGGGATTGTAGTACCATTATAATTAGGGTTTAGGGCTTAGGGTATGTTCCCAATTATATAGACAATGCTTAATAGGGATTATAGTACCCCCTATATTCCGTATTAAGGACTGTTAGTATAACGGGGAACATCCCAGAGCACAGGACTTTCCATGCCGAGTTGGGGGGTTTCCGCGCGGCTTGGGGGTTTAGGTTTTAGGGTTTAGGGTTTAGGGTTTGGGGTTTGGGGTTTGGGGTTAAGGGGTTAAGGGGTTTAGGGTTTAGGATCGCGTGGGTTGAAGGGATTGGGTTTAGGATTTAGGGCTCCTGCGTTTGCGAATCTAGACGAGCCAAAGTTGTTGCAGTAGAACATGCACAGTTAAGCGTGAGAGTTTGGTGTTGAAGGAGACGGAGAAGGTCCTCACCTAGGCTTGTCTTTGGGAATTCCTAAAGCTTTAAACTCTAAGCCGCAAACCCTAAACCCTAAACCCTGAAGCCTGAACCCTAATTAAACTCTAAACCCTACGTACCCAATGGGCCCTGAACCAAGGCGGGCGTCAGCATGAGACAGCAGCTACAAATGTGCTTGGGCAAGGGGGGGGGGTTTCGACCGACGGCGGGTAGGTGACGTAGTAGCACCTAATAACGTCAGCACTCCCTAAACCTAAACCCTAGACCCTGAACTCGAAACCCTAAACCCTAAGCACCAGACCCTAAACCACAAACCCTCAACCCTAAACCCTGATAAACTTAGCAAGGGGTATGTGGGTCAGCCCATGGAATGACCTGCGCAAACCCCTCCCCCAAGAATCACTAAAGAGCTTGTGGCCCCTAAACCCTAAACCCTAAACCCTAAACCCTAAACCCTAAACCCTAAACCCTAAACCCTCGGGTTTTGTGTTTCGGGTTTAGGGTTTGGGGTTTGAGCATGTCTGGCCCCCCGAAAAACCTGAAACTCTGAAACCCTGTAAGCCCTACAGACCCGTAAAGCCTGTACTTGGTGCGCAGGAACCATATATTATAATAAGGGCACCCTTTTTGGGGTTGGTTACCGCTGGGCTACCAAGAATAATTTTCTTGGGTTATATAAATAAAATCAACAAAAAATCCTGAGGGGGGGTATAGTTTATAGGGTTGAGAGTTTCGAGTTGGAGGTTTAGGGCTTAAGGCTTAGAGTTTTCAGTGTCGAGTTTGGGCCCTCAACCCCAAACCCGACACCGCCTCAATCCCTAAACCCTGAACCCTAAACCCTAAACCCTAAACCCTGGGTCTGGGGTGGGGGCCCGCCTCAGACATGGACTTAAAAACCGCATCGCAGTTGAAAGCCAGGCGCGCCTGCCCAAGTCTGCGCGGCTTCCGAGGTTCGACCATGAGCGTTTAGGGTTTAGGGTTTAGGGTTTAGGGTTTAGGGTTTAGGGTTTAGGGTTTAGGGTTTAGGGTTTAGGGTTTAGGGTTTAGGGTTTAGGGTTTAGGGTTTAGGGGTTGCTGACTTTGGTGCTGGAGGATGAGCGGGGTTAGGGATGTTCTTCAAGTCTTAGGGTTTAGGGTTTGGGGGTTTAGGGTTCAGAGCGGGTTTCAGGATTTTCTGGACTAGCAAAAGGCTCCACGGCTAAACTTGACATGGTTGATAGCGCGTAGGGTTATAGGTTGTCGAAGTTTAATTCGATGGTTTGGGGGTTGAGGGCTTAATTAGACGAAACCCTAAACCTTAGCGACCCCAAAACCCTCTGATCCCTCTACTTGAACAGCCTTATACACCCAAAAAACATACCGTGGAATAGAGCCGCTTCTTCTACAATCAGTGTATCCATCGTGTAGCACATTGCTGTGCTGTAGGGGGGCACAACTTTGATGAAACAAAGTGCAGGGTTCAGGGCTTATAGGTTTAGGGTTTAGGGTTAGGGTTCAGGTTTTAGGGTTGAGGGTGCGTGCCATCCGTATCCTGCTTTGCCAATTCAGCCGAGGGCTGGTTGATGGTCACCTTCGATGGCCTGGAGGCCTGGTTCAATGAGAGACAATGGCCCCCCACCACCTGAGGCTTAGGAAAAGTGGACCTGCAGGGCGGTTCGATCATCGACTGCAGAGCCCACTCCCGCCAGGGAACATGATGGTCTCCAAGGCATCTCCCGGCGAAGCACTCGACGGGATCGCGCACAGGAAACACACCAGAACAGCGAGCACTCCGGTAGTCAGCACTTTGGCGAAACGAGCAAGAGATGGTCTCCTACTGCAGTTGAAACCCTAAACCCTAAACCCTAAACCCTAAACCCTAAACCCTAAACCCTAAACCCTAAACCCTGAGCATCCTGCCCAAGTGACCCGAGGATGCGTCCTCTTCTGGGGTGTAGCCAGCGATGCCCTGCCTTGAGAGAGGAGGCCACTCTTTCTGGAGGCAATGTAAAAGTCGCTGAGCTGTGCGCACCAGGTTGTACCATCGAGACTCCGGCTTGCTATGGCACAGAAGGAAGCTTTACAGTTTTTTTTTTGATGACTTTCTTGAAAAGAGTTTTTTTGAGTTTTGGCTCCCTAAACCCTCAACCCTAAACCCGTCTTCGTTGCAATGCCAGATTCCCCTCGGCAGGTGTCGATGATTCGCCACAGCTCTGCACATGCTGGTGCTAAGGGCTCCACTCGGATGGCCCTTAGATTCCTCTGAAACATGTTCTAGGCCTGCCGAGTTTAGGCTTTAGGGTTGAAAACCTTCCGGGGCTCCATTTTCCTACCATTGTGGGGGGCTTGAACCCCTATGTTCGAAAAAATATGGGGGCCCGAAACCCGAAGCCCTCATGCACCCCAAAGCCCAACAGCCCTCACACGGGCATGGAACTGGTCCCGAGAGATTGCCTCGGACCTGTGGCTGCTAGGGGGTTAAGGGTTTAGGGTTTAGAGGACCCCCCCCCCACCAGCCTAGTGCTGAGGGTCTGGTGTTCAAAAACCTAAACCTGAACTACAGTTCAGGGGTTAGGCTTAAGGCTTAGGGTTTAAGCCATAGGGTTTAGGGTTTAGGGCGCTTAGGGCACCCTCAGCGGCCTGTCTCAGTCCAGCTTCGTTGAGCTCCTTGGGCCCCGGGGATTGCTTCAATTAGGATTTAGGGTTTAGGGTCTAGGGTTTAGAGTTTAGAGTTTAGGGTTTAAGTTGCTACAAGGATTTTGCTGTCCAACCCGAAACCCTAAACCATGATAAGCCAAGTTGTGTTGGGCCTAGGTGTTCGGTGGGGCTTGGTGAACCCAACTTGCTTCCGATTTACTTTGAAATAGCTGCTGTGCAGGGGCTACAGTTGAATCAGTGCTTCTTAAGCTTTGGGGCCAGTGGGCCTATCGGGTGATCCAGGGAGGAATGGGCTTAGGGTTCAGGGTTTCGGGTGTAGGGTTCTATGTTTCGCCTTCGAGCTCTGGTGCCTGCTTCGAGGCAACGATCCTTGAATACTTTCCGGGCTGCTGTGAGGGGGACTGAACACCTAAACCCTAAACCCGAAACCCTAGGCCTAAGTTCTGTAGCCGCAGCCCAGTTTGGGTGGGGGATTTCTCTTTTCTCGTGTGGCACCCTCAAGACACTGAAACGCGCTGTTCGCTACCCGCTACCCCAAGAACGTCTAGACCCTCGAGACCCCCATCCTTATACACCCCTCATACCCCCTATGCCCTCCTTATACCCCCCTTATACCCCCCTTATACCTCCCTTATCCCCCCATGAAACCCCTAAACCTGAAACCCTAAACCCTAAACCCTAAACTCTCAACCCTAAACCCATATCCCCCTACCCCAGATATTGCGACCCAGCAGCATACCTCCGGACCTGCACGACGTCGTTGTTCGAAGCCTTTGAGAACGCAGCTCTGGTGGTGCACTGCCCTCTGCATAGGGGTTCAGGGTTTAGGGTTTAGGGTTTAGGGGGTTTAGGGAAAGTATAAAAGGGTTCAGGTCCGGGGAAAGCTTTCGGGGAGTTTCTGCTTTTACAAGCTCCGGGGGGCCGCCCTAAACCCTAAACCCTAAACCCTAAGCCCTAAACCCTAAACCCTAAACCCTAAACCCTAAACCCTAAACCCTAAACCCTTTCTGGGTTTGGGGCTGCAAGCTCTTGGGGTTTAGGTTTCGACTCTCGGGCCTGGGCACCAGGTACCAACATGGGAACTTCCAGAACCCCCCTGGTCCCTTGTAAGGAATGGGGGGGAGTTAGGCACCTTATTATCCTATAAAAAATAAGTAAAGAAATAAACAAGAGGTTCTGTGTAACACTTCTATACACTGTACTAAACCCTAAACCCTAAACCCTGAACCCTAAACCCTAAACCCTAAACCCTAAACCTTAAACCCAAAACCCTCCAAACCCTTGAGCCCTCAGAAGCAACCCGTCAGAAAAGGTCAAAGCGTTTCGAATTTGGAG